GTCCGAAGAACAGGTTACTCCTTTCACATGGGGACCTTAATTTTCTTCTTTTAAAGATTTATTTATTTTGGGCCCGGCGTGATGGCGCAGTGGTTAAGGTCCTCGCCTTGCACGCCCAGGATCCCATATGGGTGCCGGTTCTAATCCCGGAGGCCTCACTTCCCATCCAGCTCCCTGCCTGTGGCCCGGGAAAGCAGTTGAGGATGGCCCAAGGCTTTGGGACCCTGCACCCGTGTGGGAGACCCGGAAGAGGCCCCTGGCTTCAGATCAGCATAGCATCAGCCATTGTGCTCACTTGGGGAGTGAATCATTGGATGGAAGATCTTCCTCTCTGTCTCTCCTCTCTGTATATCCGCCTTTCCAATAAAAATAAAATAAATCTTAAAAAAAAGATTTACTTATTTTTATTACAAAGTCAGATATACAGAAAGGAAGAGAGACAGAAAGGAAGATCTTCCCTCCGATGATTCACTCCCCAAGGGGTCACAGTGGCTGGAGCTGAGCCAATCTGAAGCCAGGTGCCAAGAGTTTCTTCCGGGTCTCCCATGTGGGTGCAGGGTCCCAAGGCTTTGGGCCGTCCTCGACTGCTTTCCCAGGCCACAAGCAGGGAGCTGGAGGGGAAGCAAACCTGCTGGGATTAGAACTGGCGCCCATATGGGATCCTGGCATGTTCAAGGCAAGGACTTTAGCCACTACGCTATTGCACTGGGTCTGACCCTATTTTTCTGATAAAGGCATCCATGAAGACTGTTGTGAATTCCCAACATTTCTGCGAGTCTTTATAAAACCCTCTCAAAACAAAGCTTGTGATATCCTCTAAGGTGAGAAAACTAAGACAGAAAGGATAAATGACTTGTACAGAATAAAGTCTGTTTCTTACTGTAATCACAAGCTGAAATTGAACAGCGTTCATGTGCTCTAAGACTACTTATGAGCAGCAGAAATGATGCATTGTCAGCACTACACTGGGAACTCCGACAGGCACGTGGTCAAAGGATGACAGGGCTGGGAAGGGAAAGAAAAGTGAATGACAACAGATGTAAAGAAACTGACGTTTCGATTCTCGGCTCCCTTCTAACAGCCTTTCGGGGTTCTCAAACTGGGTTCTATGGCATCCTACGGGTTCCTTAGGAATCAAGGAAAAGGGAATCATGAAAACAAGGAATTGCAAAATCCCTCCCCGCTCCGACCCAAGTAACTTGTTTTGCTCGTTTAAAGATTGCAAACCCCATAAAATCCTGCCAAATATACCCTAAAGCTCGTTTGGTAACTCTAGCAGATATTCTCAGAGTTCTCTGTCAAGTAATGCTCAAGGGTCGAGGAAAACATGTGTCCTGAGATCTAAGACTTCACTGCACACAAGGTCCGTGGAAGTGGGAATTTTTGTTTGCTGCTATACCAGCAAGAAGCGAGAATAGAGTCTGACACCTGTGATTTCTTTGAAGGAACATACTGGAAATGGAGCAGTAATAGAAGCTAGCACTGTGGTATAGCAGGTGAAGCTGCTATCTATAGGAAAGGTATCCCATTTGGGTACCAGTTCAAGACCCAGCTGCTCCACTTCCGCCCAGGCTCCCTGCTAACATGGCTGGGAAGGCAGCCGAGGATGGCGCAAATGCTCGGGCCCTGCACATATGTGGGAGACCTAGAAGAAGCTCTTGTGCTCCTGGTTTTGGCTTGGCCCATCCCTGGCCATCATGACCATTTGGAGAGTGAACCAGTGCATGGAAGACATCTCTCTCCCTCTCTCTGTAACCGTGCCTTTCAAATAAACAAAATAAATGTGTGTGGGGGGAGGTGGGCTGGGCAGAATTAAATTCAAACCCATCATTTAACAAAACAAACAAACAAAAAAGGGATAGTTGCTGAAAGGCAGTGGGTTACAGGTTAGAATCTACCTACCGTTTTTTTAAGGATTTATTTTTATTGGAAAGTCAGAGAGACAAAGATCCTTCATCTGTTGGTTCACTCCTCAAATGGCTGCAAGAGCTGGAGTTGAGTTGAGCTAAAGCTGGGATCCAGTAATTTCTTCTGGGTCTCCCACGTGGGTGCAAGGTCCCAAGGTTTTGGCTGTTCTTGACTGCTTTCGCAGGCCACAAGCGGGGAGCTGGATGGGAAGTGGAGCAGCTGGGACATGACTGAAGCCCATATGGGATGCCAGTATTTAAGTGGAAGATTAGCCAGTTGAGCAAACACACTGGCTCCCCAGCAAATATATATATATATATATTTTAAAAGGTCCTGAAGACTTCCCAGAACTGCAGGACACTTGAGTTCTCCCCCTTCTAAACTCCCTAAGCGCTAGTACTCCAATTTATCAGCCATGTGATGTTGGACAAATTCTTTGAGATTCTCAATTTCCTTGCTAGTAAAATGGAGGCATCCTGTTTCATTCGGCATGAAAATAGGAAACACAAGGGAAGATCCTAAAAAATAATAATAATAAAAAAGCACATCTTATAATAATCCAAAAAGTGGAAGTGAGCATGGTGGTACTAATCAAAACATTTTTGAGCTAAACTACTTACCCAGGAAGGTTCGCTAGGCCAGGGAAAGAAATCTGATTTTGTCCTTGTGGCTTTTTGTTTAGAATCACCCGAGCAAACAGTGAGAGGATCTGGGGTCTGTCAGGTTCCCTCAGATCTTCCAGGGGGCTTGAAAGTCAAGAGGCCTTTAAAGTTTTAAGTCCATTGGGGCCAGCAATACGGTATAGCAGGTAAAGCTACTGCCTGTTCTGGCATCCCAGGGGTGCTGTTTCCAGTCCTGGCTGCTCCACTTCTGATCCAGATTCCTGCTCTAGTGACCTAGAAAAACAGCAGAGGGTGCCCCACGTCCTTGAGATGTGGATAAAGCTTAGAATGGCTCAGCTCTGGCCTCTACTGCCACTGAGTGAGCCAGCAGCTGGAAGACTCTCCCTTCCACCCCGACTACTCTGTAATCCTGACTTTCAAAAAAAAAAAAAAAGTAATCCCACCTTGGTATCATCCACAAAAGCTCTTGGTTCTTTTACCCAGAAATAATCTGAAAGGTTTCTCATCTGAGAACTCAAGGCCAGAGACAGGAAGTGGTTTGGCCAGGATGAGTCAGAAGAAAAAAACCAGCCTCAAGTCCAGTGTCAGAACAGCTTGCTGCCAGGCTGCAGCTGGCTGGCTAAGGTCAGTTCCTGCCCCAGTTATGCAGACCAGAATACACCCAAGTTCATGGGATTGAGATTCAGCAAGGTTTTAGTGATATAATTATATTGCAGCGTGACACTGCCCTAGAGAGGCAGACACTGAGATCCAACCATTCTCCCACAGGCTCCACCCACCCAACTACCACAGCCTTCCGCTCACTTTCTGCATCACGCATGGCCTGTGGGATCGCGTACCAGCACGTTACACTGTCTGGATAGAGCATGCAAGCTCAGAATAATGCCTGTCAGTATCCTGAGTCCTGTAAGATTTTTCAATCTTTTGATTGTCGAGCTAGGAATATCTGCTTGCTGGTATTCTTTTGCAAGTCCTTTAAATAAGGGCTGGTCTTCCCCAACTCTGGTAATCCTTAATGGACGAAGACCAGAGAAGTTGAAATACACAAATCCATACACTTGGCTCTCCTTCCTGTTCTCTATAAACTGAATAACTGCCCAAGTCAGCTCTATGTTCAGGCTATTTCAGAAACAAAAGAAAAACAGAGAAGTGGCTATAAGGAGAACCATGCTGATGTGGGAAGCTTCTATCTTGCTTCCTAGTAAGGGAAACACCAAAGGTTTCCCGGACCACTAACGCCACCTGGTGGCCAGGCGAGATACATGACTACAATCTAAAATCCACCTATTTCAGCTATCTGTACTGGTTTAAAACGAATCTTTTTTTTTATTTTGTTAAGATTTATTTTATTTTTATTGGAAAGGCAGATATACAGAGAGGAGAGACAGAGAGGAAGATCTTCCATCCAATGATTCACTCCCCAAGTGAGAGCAACGGCCGATGCTATGCCGATCCGAAGCCAGGAGCCAGGAACCTCTTCCAGGTCTCCCACACAGGTGCAGGGTCCCAAAGCCTTGGGCCATCCTCGACTGCTTTCCTGGGCCACAGGCAGGGAGCTGGATGGGAAGCGGGACTGCCGGGATTAGAACCGGCGCCCATATGGGATCCTGGGCGTGCAAGGCAAGGACCTTAACCACTTGCGCCACCGCGCGGGGCCCTAAAACGAATCTTAACAGAAGTTGGGACAAACTGAATTTAGAGTTGTTTGGAGCCCAGCACTGTGGTGTAGTGGGTAAAGCTGGCACCTGGGAGGCCAGTATTCCATTGCGGCTTTGGTTCCTGTCAGGTTGTTCTACTTCTGATCTAGCCCCTGATGCCTGGGAAAAGCAACAGCAGATAATGCAAGTGCTAGGGCCCCTGCACCCACATGGGAGAGCCAGAAGCAGCTCCCAACTCCTGGCCCCCAGCTGTTCTGGAGAATACACCAGTGGATGGAAGACCTGTCTCTCCCTGTGTAGTAGCTCTTTCAAATAAATACATCTGTATTTTTATTGGAAAGGCAGATTCACAGGGCAAGGGGAGAGATAGAGAGAGCTTCCATCTGCTGTTTTACCTCCTCACCATCCCCCACCCCCCGCAAACGGCAGTAATGGCCAGAGCTGAGCTGATCTGAAGCAAGGAGCCAAGTCCCCTCCAGGTCTCCCACACGGGTGCAGGGTCCCAAGGCTTCGGGCCGTCCTCTATGGTATTCCCAGGCCACAAACAGTGAGCTGGAAGGGAAGTGGAGCAGCCAGGACACAATCCATCACCCATACAGGATATCAGTGCCTGCAGGTGGAGGATAACCCAGTTGAGCCATCGTGCTCACCCCATGAATCTTTTAAGAGTCCATTATCGAGGCTGGCACCAGATTTTTCATTAAAAAACAAAGCAGAATCCCACCTTTCCCTTTTCACCACACTCTCACCAAAAATACCCCCTGACCCAATGAGTGCAGTCATAAAACACATGTGCAAAAGGGGCTTTACATTCATAAGAAAAAACAATTTTATTAGGAAAGAACTTCTCACATGGCCAAAGCAAACAATGAATGAATTCCAAGGAGGGGAGGAAACAAACAGCTCCACAGAGTTGAAACCAGAAGTATTGCAGGATGACAATACCACCTAAGTATATACATTCACAATCACCGCCGCCTCCGAAACCCTGGAAAGAAGGGAATAAGAATGAGGCAGAGGCCAGCAGGCAACGCCGCTGGAGCCAGAGAGAAGGGTTTCCTGGGAGGGACTCCCGGGCAGAATGTTCCAGATCTTTCCAGGACACAAAGCTCTGAGTAGCGGCAAAACTAAAGCCGGGTACTCGCTCCTTCACCTAACCCTGACCGTCCCATCTCAGGAAGCTTGACCAGAGGCTGTGGAGCGCAGGGGTTCCTGACTTCCAAAGCAAAGAACAAAAAGCCCCCCCTACAGATGGACAGGCAGTATGGAAGACGTGTCTTAGGGGTTGGTGGGACTCGGGGCAGCCAATGCTGAGGGCGGCTGCCCCAGGTCATACCCCTCACTGGCACTTCGTCCCCCCAAGTCCTAGCATTCCACTGACCTTTCTTCTTCCGCCCCTTCTTGGGCATCCTCTTCTGCTTCTTAACAGGATTCGGATCCTGGAGACGGAGAGGGGAAGGGAAGGCATGGCGGTGCACCGCCCCAGCCGGTGGGCTGGCCGGGCAGGCTCCCACCTCCTCCCGCGGCTCACCTCACCTCATCGAGAGCGGCTCCTCCCGTGAGCGCGCTGATGTCACTGAAGTGCGTGAGGGAATGAAGCTGGGAGCTCATGATGTTCGCTCGCTTTCGGCGTCCCTTCTCGCGCTTACTGACGCTGAGGCGCACCATCATGCTCTCCTCGTAGTTAATCCTGCCCCAGGAGACAGTGGGCGGCAGCTGCAGACCGCAGTGACCACTGCAGCCCAGCCCCAGCCTGCACCCCTCTCTGCTCGGCGTGTTTGCCGGAACCCTCACCACGGCTGGACACGGCGCTTGCTAAGGACCCACTGAATGGTTCCTACTGCAGCACCTTCCTCAAAGAAATGCTCTTTGTGCTCAAACTTTCCTCATCTTTAGAGATAAATCCAGAGCCTACACACAGGACAAATTAAAATGTATGAGAAAATTCCTGCATTTTGGCTTCATAAACAGGATTTCCTGTATAGTATCTTAAAAAAAAAAAAAAAAACAGATTCATTTTATTCTTATTGCAAAGCCAGATATACAGAGAGGAGGAGAAACAGAAAGATCTCCCATCTGCTGGTTCACCTCATCCCCAAGTAACCACAGTGGCTGGGGTTGAGCTGATCTGAAGCCAGGAGTCAATAGCTTCTTCCCAGGTCTCCCATGTGGGTGCGGGGTCCTAAGGCTTTGGATCGTCTTTTACTGCTTTCCCAGGCCACAGGCAGGGAGCTGCATGGGAAGCGCAACAGCTGGGACACGAACCGGTGCCCATATGGGATCCCGGCAAGGATTCAGTCACTAGGCTATCACACCAGGCCCTCCTGTGTAGCATCTTTCACATAAATCCACCAACTACAGAGACTGCATCTAAGTAATTCCACCCTTCTTCACGGCCACTGGAGAGCCCACCACCTGTTTCTCTCTCTCCCTCTGTCAAAAACATCTGCCTATATTGCCTTCAGCATAAAAGAGTCGGGAAATACAGACAATGTGAAACTGCATACGCCACACCGCACACAGCATCTGATTTGGCTTAAACAGACAAAATCATTTCTTCTTGTTCTTATCCTGTACTCTCCAAACTTAAGACCTTCCACCCCATTTCACTCCACTCTGCATCACACCGGCTCTCTCGGTCCCAGTTGTGACCGCACCATGGGGGGGCTGTTTGCTGAGCGCCAGGGCCCCCACCTGTGCTGGTCCTCCTGACTCTGGCGAGTCACGTGCGGATGGCGAGCGTCGCGGATCTCCTCCGGGGCATCCGAGTACTGCTCCTTCAGTTCCCTGATGACGGAGCTGCTCAGCGCCCGCCTCTTGGCCCGTTCCAGCCGCTTTTTCTCCCGCTCGGCCTCTGTCTCGTCTGTGAGTGGCAGCAGCATGGGTTACTGCAGGGCAGAGCCAGGCAGGACGGGGACACAGTGCCTGCGGGGGTGGGAGCACCATCCTACCATAGTGCACCGGAACCAAGCGTGGCGGAACGTATTTCTTGGATGCTCCTTTCACAGACTTCTTCCCCGATGACTGGCCATCCTCTGCTCCATCTTCCTCTTCATCCTCGGAGCTCAACTGCAAAAGGAACATGCCTACACACCCGGGAAGCACCAGGCCACAAGGGAGGAGAAAATCCAAGGCCGAAGATTCCAGTGGGAGAATCTAACCAAAGGGCACACGAGGATCTCCCGCCAACACTGCGCAAGCCCAGAGTCCAACCACTGAGCACCCCAGGGCATCCAGGGACACACACAGAACCTTCGTGAACACCAGCAGGGCAATGCGATTCCTCACCTTGCTCACCATACTGTTGGGCTGAGGCTTAAAACAAAGTGGGTCATTCTCATCTGAAATATAAAACCCAAGAGTTTTCCCAGGATGTGGGATTACAGGATAGTCCCCACCAACGGAGGATGGTCCCCTACTTACTGAGGCTCCCAGTCACCGCTGTTTTAACCAGTTTGTCAATCTGATATTTCAGTTTCTGGTCCAGAGGACGAAGCTTTTCCAAAACCTGTAACACAGCAGTTGAACATGACTGCGTTCCCTTCCCATATTGCATACACACCACCATTACACACGATAAACTGCCAAGTAAGGCACATGAAGCACAAAGCAGAGGAAATGAAGATGATAAAAAAAAAAAAAACCACACACATACACAGCACCAAGTTTGCTTTTCACTTGAGTTCTTTACCTAGATATCAAGATACCTACTTAAAATAAATCAGAGCTACTGCACTGGAGTTCAGTATTTGGGAACCTACAAGTTCAAAGATGCCAAATACTCCATACCGTGCGAATCTCCACCAGTCTCAAAACCGCAGCGTGTCCCTGAAGAGACGCTCCCGAGGCTTTGTCCAGGATGAGGTGGCTCAGATCCATAAGGTACATGAGCAGGAGCTGGTCTTTCACCTCCAAGAAGCTGAGGCCCTAGGTTGAACCAAATGGGAAGAGATGCAAATTCGATTTACCCAGGGAATGGGTAGCGCTTTTCCAAGTTCAGCTTCTTCCTACCCAACTGGTAGAGGGCACCTAGAGTTCAGAAGTGCCCTCCTCATGTACAGTCTCACTTTCCAGGGTTTTGGTTGCCTACAGCCAACAACTGCAGTTCAAAAAGATTACACGGAAAGTTCTTTTAATGAATAACCAATAAATCCTGTAAATGGTACACTGTTCTGAGCAGCACGAGGCAGGCTCGCACTGCCCTGGTCCATTCTCCACAGTGAGCCAGCCCCTGGTCCAGGGACCCACGCTGTGCATGCGCCCCACCTGCCAGTCACTTAACAACATCTGTTATAAGACTGCAGGGGTCTTCATGGAAGGTCCCCGTAACAACACAGCAGGGCAAACAGGAGAAATGGTGGGTAAGACTGAGTACCCTCCCAGGTTTCAGGAATCCACTGAGCATCCTGGGATGTACTCCCCACTCAGCTAAGAGGAGACTAGAGCAGTTTCAAGAAATAGCTAAACCTGGGCCCAGCACTGCAGCCTAGCAGCTAAAGTCCTCACCTTGCATACACCGGGATCCCAAACGGGCGCCAATTCTAATCCTGGCAGCCCCACTTCCCATCCAGCTCCCTGTACCCATGTGGGAGACCCAGAAGAAGTTTCTGGCTCCTGGCTTTGGATGGGCTCAGCTCCAGTGGATGGAAGATTTTCCTCTGTCTCTCCTCCTCTCTATGTCTGACTTTCCAACTGTGAAGGAAGGACGGATGGACGGACAGAAGGAAGGAAGGAAGAAAAAAACAGCTAAACCTAAGATGAGCAACAGAGAAGTGGATGTTAACAACAAGGCATCGAGCCTTCATAGGCGGCATCTTAACATACAGAATAAGCAGTGGATGCAACCACAGCTGCCCAGCCTGCCTCCTCCGGGGCTAACATTCCTCATGGTCCTCATCCTGATGTCACTGGCTTCTACGGGGACTCCAGCAGCTGGATCCAAACTCATCTCTGACGCTCTGGCACTCAGCTCAGAAGCATGAGAAACCTGTGCTGACTCAACTCTGGGGAACGGCAGGTTGGGGCCGCTGGCCAGGACACTGTATGTACCTTCTCTGTAGGATAGGTTCCAGCTCGAACTTTCTTCGTCAGTGCTTGCACCTGCGCGGTTACAGCCATCACCTGGAATTAGCCCAAAAAGAAGAGCAAAGTTGACCCCTGTCTGTGAACCATGAGGCACGATGCACAGTGAGGTGCTGGCAAGTTCTCAGCTCTGGGCAGGACCAGGAGAGGCACTCCCAGCAGTTCTTCAAAACAGAAAAACAAAAACCTCTATTGCTTCTTAAAGCTACAGAGACTCTCTTTACCAAACCAGGGGCAGACTGGAGCAGTGGCGATGGGAGAACTGTAATTTCTCCAGGGGGTGGACTGAACTTAATAAACAGAACCATGTCAAGGCCTATCGGCTGAGCACCCACCCGGCACACCGGGACCCCTGTCCTAGCACTGCCTTCCTTTGCTACAAGTCAAGGAAGTGGACTCTGACGGCCTTTCTCTGGAGCTGACAGCGTCCATTCAGGGGCAGGAAACACAAGTGCCTTTCCTTTCTGGACGTTCATCAAATCTTTTACTCTCCTGGTAGTTGGCAGCAATCACACCCGCCACCACCACCACCCCCCCCCCCGTCCCGAGTCACCGACAGACTGGGGTGGAGGCACACGCAGTCGGGGCCAGCGGTGACCACCTCAGCCCCAGGGACGACGCTGACCATGCACCTGCTCTTGGAGGGTCTTCAGCAGCGTCACGGCACTCGGCAGGTCCGCCTCGAGCACCCCCTGCGGACGGCAGAGAAGAAAGCCATTGTCCTCGGGACGCCGGCTCTTTGCAGCCCCCAGATCCCGGGTCTGCTCCCGCTGCCCAGCAGGCCAGTCCCCGGCTCAGCGGGGCTCCCTGTGCCCTTCCGGGCCAAGGAGGCCCGCCCCGGAAGCAAGTTTTCAACACCCCTTTCCCTGGGGCCGATAAACAGCCTCGCACCACGGAAGGGAGTAGGAAACGTCCACAAACGCTACACGAGGAAAACTTGGCATTACAACTCACCGGCGCCGCCATCTTTGCAAACCCTCACACCCTTTCCGGAACCATACTTCCGGCGCGCCAATGTCGTCATGACAGGCTTGTGAGGCGGCCACGGTTTGTAAACATAAGCCAATCGGATTAGGGACTGTCTCACTTCCGCCCCGAAAAGGATGAACAAGAGGAAAAGCTTGTTCTGGCCAATGGAAAAACAGATTCACGGAGGGTAGAATGACGTAGGATGCTCTCGGAGAGAAGCATGTGATTGGTAGGTTGGATAGAATGATGGACATTAAACAAATAAAAGCCGAGAAAATGGTTGATTGAAAGGTAAAGGATCCAATGGGAAAAAGGAGAGAGCCGAGCGACCTGAGAGCCTATTGGCTCCGGGATGCCGCAGTACCCGAGTCTTTTTCATGGCGCTTTCCTTGTGGTGCCGACTCGGGCCGCTCGGTGGCGCCCTTGGCTTCGCTCTGGAAGCGCCGCGTTGCGGAGTGGCCATGGCTGCCCTGCTTTCCTGTAGCCCCAGCACGTTTCATTCCCGGCTTCCGATCACTCATTTGGCTCGATACTTGACAGTACTTTTGGGGTCACAGTGAACCAATTACGCCGTCTCATTCTTTTTTTTTTTTCATCCGTAAATAAGAGACTGGGCCAAAGATGCCCATTTTAGAACCCTGCGGTCCTCTGCGCCCCCGCAGCGCTGCGGGGAGGCCCCGGTGTCACCCCGACCCTGCTCCCTCCACACTGCTTGGGAACACAAGGATGGATATGGTCCACGGAGAAGGGAGGCGCTGGCTGTTTCCACGACTGGTCACAACAGGTGCAGAGCCAGGCTGTGTAGAGTTCACCTTGGGCTTTCAGGTGGCTCAGCTCCTCCGAAGGCTGGTGGAGTCGGAGGGGAGTGAGTCGTTCTTAACATTTGCATTAGAAAATGAAGTACCGAGATAGCAAATGACAGTCTTGCATGGATCCGATCTCTGGAATTGGGGTTGTCTTCAGGGATGGCTGGGTAGCCAGGGAGGGAAATCCAGGCTTCTAAGAACTGCGGGGCCAGGAGGCAGCGGCTTATCCGGTCCTCATGGCCTCTGCCCCTCAGCAGTTGCTGGTATCCTCTGTGCCTGGTTTGCATTCTGAACGGGTTCCTCTTGCAACATACATTTTCAGACCTGTCCCATTAGGTCACGAACTCTTCTTTCCCCAGAACTTGAGGTTGAGTTTGTTCTGTGCATTATGATATCAATGAGGAAACAAACGCCATAACCTCATTTTGTTTCTGATTATTTAGGTACTTGTCAACCATTCCTCTTATTACAAGAAAATATTGGCAATAACTGCACAATAAATCTTCGTAAATGTCTTCTACATTCAACCACCAAGCATTAGCCAAGAACACAAGATCATTAAATTTATTGTCTGCTATTTCTCTCAACAGTTGCATAAACTGGCCGTCATTCATAATGATTGCGAGTATATGTTGAGATCATTTACTAAGAGCAGTTTTATTGAGGTTTAGTTCAGGTACTAAACAATCCAGTGCTTCCTAGTATCTTCACAGAGTTGTTCAGCTACCCTTAGAATCTTTTTAAGGTTCACTTCTTTATTTGAACGGAGAGTTGCACAGAGAGATGAAGAAATCAAGAGAGGTGTTCTTTTATTTTTTTTAAGATTAGTTTATTTTTATTGGAAAGACAGATGTGCAGAGAGAAGGAAGGACAGAAAGAAAGATCTTCCATCCTCTGTTTCAATCCCAAATGGCCGCAATAGATGAAGCTGAGCAGATCTGACACCAGGAGCCAGGAGCTTCTACCAGATTTCCTATGAGGATACAAAGGTCTAAGAACTTGAATCATCCTCTACTACCTTCCCAGGCCTTAAGCAGGAAGCTGAACTGGTAGTATAGCAACTGGGAATTGAACCAGTGTCCATACAGGACGCCGGTACTGAAGGTGGAGCTTTAGCTTACTACACCATAACCTACACCGTGACTCCAGCTTATTTCTTATATTTTCAAATAAATGTGTATGAATAATTCATTTGAAAGAAAGAGTTACAGAGAGCGACAGAAAAAGAGAGAGAGAGTCATCTGTCTTCTGGTTCTCTCCCCAAAAGGGCACAGTGCCCGTCTGAAGCTAAGAGCCAGGAGCTTCATCTGTATCTCCCACGTGGGTGCAGGGGCCCGAGAACTGCAGCCATGTTACTCTGGTTTCCCAGGCACTTTAGCAGGGAGCTGGATTGGAAATGGAGCAGCTGGGATTTGAACCAGATGCCATAGGGGATGCTGGTGCGACAGATAGCAGCTTTACTCACTATGCCACAGTGCCAGCTTCTTTGAAGAATGTAGCTCTTACATTCACTATTTGATTGTGACCTAATTTTTAGATGTGGTGTGATGTAGAGATCCACTTTCAGTCCTTTCATGTGATCATCCAGGGTCTGAATCAGTTGTTGAAGAGACCATTCTTTTCTCATTGAATTGTCTTGGCGCCCTTGCTGAAAATCAATTGTATGTCAATGTTTGAGGCTATTTCTAGACTCCAAATTTTATTCTATTGCTCTATATATCTAATGTTATTTTAGTACCATAACTATCTTGATTACTGTAGCTTTGTCACTCTTTTTTTCTTTTTTAGAAAAGCAGATATACAAAGAGAATACAGGAAGATCTTCCATACAATGATTCACTCCCCAAGTGACCACAATGGCCGGTGCTGCGCCAATCCGAAGCCAGGAGCCAGGAACTTCCTCCAGGTCTCCCACACGGGTGCAGGGTCCCAAGGCTTTGGGCCATCCTCGACTGCTTTCCCGGGCCACAAGCAGGGAGCTGGATGGGAAGCAGGGCTACCGGGATTAGAACTGGCGCCCATATGGGATCCTGGCGCACTCAAGGCAAGGACTTTAGCTGCTAGGCCAGCGCACCAGGCCTGTCACTGGTTTTTAATCGGTGTGAATCTGACAGCTTTGTTCTTCTTCAAGATTATTTGGCCCTCCTGAATCCTTTGCATTTCTAAACAGAATATGGGATTACCTTATCAATTACCACCAAAAGAGCCCAGCCAGAAAGCTAAAAGCAAGTGGTGGCAATTTGGGAAAATTTAAATCAATTCATCTTTAACAGTGTTAGATATGTCTTGATATCTATAGACAGCTGCTTGACAGCTTAAATTTAAGAGATTTCTTTTTTTGAGATTTATTTTTATTTAATTGAAAGGCAGAGTTAGAGTTATGGAGAAAGAGGACATATGGATAGAGTGAGAGAGAGAGAAGAAAGAGAGAAATCTACTCCCCAAATGACTGCGGCGGCCTGGGCTGGACTTGGCTGAAGCGAGGAACTTCTCATGTGAGTACAGGGGCACAAGTACTTTGGCCATCTGCCACTGCCTTCCCAGGAGCATTGGAAGTGGAATAGTGGGACTTGAACTGGAAACTATATGGGATGCCAGCACAACAGGTGGCAACTTAATTTGCTATGCTGCAACACCTGCCCAAAGAAGACAATCTGAAGCCAGGAGCCAGGAGCCTCCTCCAGGTCTCTCACATGGACGCAGGCTCCTAAGGCCTTGGGCCATCCTCGACTACTTTCCCAAGTCACAAGCAGGGAGCTGGATGGGAAGCGGGATGCTGGGATTAGAACCAGTGCCCATATGGGATCATGGCACGTTCAAGATGAGCACTTTAGCTGCTAGGCCACGGCACTGGGCCCGAAGAGACTTTTTTTAAAAAAGAAAGATCTAGTGGCTAAAATCCTAATCTTGCATGTGCTGAGATCCCATATGGGTGCCAGTTCATGTCCCAACTGCTTTACTTCCTTTTCAACTTCCTGCTTGTGGTCTGGATAAGCAGTAGAAGATGGCTCAGAAAAATACTTGGAACCTTGCACCTGCATGGGAGACCCAGAAGAAGCTCCTGGCTCCTGGCTCCTGGCTTTGGTTGGGCTCAGCTCCAGCCGTTGCAGTCATTGGAGTGAATCATTGGATGGAAGATCTTTGTCTCTCCTTCTCTGTAAATCTGACTTAACAACAAAAATAAAAAAATACATCTTAAAAAAAAAAAAGAAAAAGAAAAGAAAGATCTTTGGGGCTAGTCCTGGTGCAGCCAGGAAAGCCAGCACCTGTCATGTCAGCATCCCAGATGGTGCTGGGGAGCTCTGGGTTTTCAGCTCTGACTGCTGCAGCCATCTGGGGAGTAAGCCGGGGGTGGGAAATGTCTCTGTGTATCACTTTATCTCTGGGACTCTGCTTTTATTTATTTATTTATTTATTTATTTATTTATTTATTTATTGGAAAGGCGGATTTACAGAGAAAAGAGTCAGAGAGAAAGATCTTTCATGTGCTGGTCCATTCCCCAAGTGGCCTCAACGGCCGGAGCTGAATTGACCCAAAGCCAGGAGCAAGGAACTTCTTCTGGGTCTACCACAAGGGCCCAAGAACTTGAACCATCCTCCACTACTTTTCCAGGTCATAAATAAGGAGCTGGACTGGAAGTGGAGCAGCCAGGACATGAATTGGTGCCCATATGGGATGCCAGTGCTAAAAGATGGAGCATTGACCTGTTGAACCTCTTTCCTTCTCTCTGTTAAATCTGCCTTTCAAATAAAAATAGATAAATATATTTTTAAATTCTTTTGCAACTCTTGTCCCTCATTTTATTTTGCTTTTGCTGTTGCCATTGGTGACTCTGACCACACATGTTTTTCTTTACTATTCCTGAAAAGAATATACTAACTCCCGAATCCCTGCTGGATTCCACATTCCCTGGTAAGCTGTATTTTCGTGTGTGTGTGTGTGTTAGGGAGCAATGGAGAGAAAGAGAGAGACCTTTCCTCGGCTGCTTCATGCTTGCCACAGTGGGTTCCAGGCCAAGGGCAGTGTTGGGGAGGCAACATTAAGCCAAAAGCCAACAGCCTGGATTCCAACATGGATTGTTGATCCTTGTATTTCCTCAGTGAGGCTCCTGATTCACTTCTGGCTTGCAGCTACCTTGTTCAGAAATTGCTCTAAAAACTGGATTATGCCTCAGTTTACCTGTGAATTCCTAAAGTCAAAAAGGCAGTGCTTGATTCTGTTGGCAGAATGACTTC